ATTTAACTTAAACAAATATTACATCGGACTATCAGGCAAAGAAGGTATATCTTTAATGAGAATTTTTCTTTGTAAATTTGGCTTTTGTTTATGTTAGCAGAGAAAAAAAATCCGTGACTTGTACATGCAATCATCAAAAGAATTTTGAGAACAGTTTTAAATGTTCATGAAGAATTAATTATACGTCAGTTTCTTTCCATAGGTAGAAATTTCGTCTAAAACTATCGTTATATCCAAAAGTTGAAGTCTATTTCATTTTCAACGAATATTCTATTTGCACTTAATATATTTTCTAATTTATTTTAGAAAGAGTAATCTTTCACGTTTTCAAAAGAATAAGGAAATATTCGGTGTAGATACCATGTAGTAAATTTGTTTTTTATATTTCTTCCAGTAATGAAAACGATTACACTGCAATATTTTCAAAGCAAAATTAAGAAAACCGTTTACGCCAAATTTTGCATAAAGTAAAGTATCTTCTCGTGTATATTTTTATTTAAAGTGTGGAATTTTCTCTTTGAAAATATCAAAAATCATGAAGAGCAAAATTAATTCATGAGAAATAACTTTGAAATGCAATAATTCCATTGTAATATGACATAGTGGATAAAAGTCCAATACAGTTTATTTATTCACAAATAATCCCCCTCATATGCGTAATTTATATACTGCCGATTGAGAAATATAGGTTAGTAAATTAAACCGGTTATTTCAATACTTTTCCTTTATCAATATTTTTATGGGCTCTTTAGTAGAGCGGTAAAGGTGGTTGAACACTTGTAGCTCGCCTGGGTTTGAATCCCGGATAAATAGTTGGATTCACAGTTTTTGTGTAATGTAAATGCAAGCCAGCTTCTCTTAGAAAGTCCTCTGCGAAGGCATAACTCCCCTTATACAGGTAATTGTTGTGTGCTTTGATGTAATTCAGTAAGCGAACAAAATTAATCCAATCAATACCGAAGAACGGGTTGATTACATGTGGAGTTTTCCACCAGGAACGTAAATGTGAGCAATTTTCTCGTAAAAAGGTTTACACGAAAGCATCCATCCCCTTAAGCAGATAGCGTTCGTGTGCTTTTCCGTAATCCAATCCTAATTTTCATACATTTAATAGTAAGTTGACATACACTTTATTACAGACAAAAATAACAACCTTTTTTAAGATATTTTTTTTTTATTCAACTTGTCTGAATTCCCTTTATCTCTTGAGTAGTATAAGAATTTCAGCAAATAAAACTGGCCGAAATTTTATAAAACTGTAACTGATGTTTTGATTCAATTTTAGAAGTAACGTGAGCTTTACTGATATTTAAATACTTTTTGGCAGATCTCATCCTAAAAGAGGGTCTTAAAGATAAATTGATTTTATTTAATTTACAATCAATGAAAATCATTGAAAGCAATCACTGAATGAATAAAAATTACAAAAACTATTATGCATACAATTGTCTCTTATTTATCTCCTGATAAATCAGACAAAATTGCCTGCATAATAGAAGCACTTTGAAAGAGTTAACAGTTCTTAAGGGTTTTATGCACTCCACAAAAATATGTCAAAATAAAATATTATTATTCATAAGTATGAAAAGGAAGTAAACAATAAAAGCGGTTTTACCTATTTTCTAGAAGGGCATTAAATCTAAAATATTAATCTATTCTTATTTGTTACGATTAAAAAACATTAAATATGGTAAGCTTAAAGAGCTTGCAAAATCGCTGACGTTTTAATCATAGCAAAAGTCAGTACTAAAAAAATTAGTATTAAAATTATGAGACAGATTGAGAAAGAGATGGCCTCTATTTAATTTTCAAGTATATTGGTGCAAGACGAAACCTGCGGTTTTTGCCAAAATGTAGCCAAACTGATAAGAAGAGGGAAATAATGCATAGCCAGCGGCTACTCTGAGCAGCGACAATGGACCACCCAAAGATCTACAGATAGGCGATTCTCTAAAATGGGGAGGGCATGGATGGTACGACAGTTGTACCAATGCCGGCGTCTGAGAAAGTCATTCTCCTGGTACAACTGCTGTACCAGCCGGCTTCGAGAGGTTAAGGTGTTTATGCCTTTAGTTGATCTGCATGAAATAGTTGTAGAATTATCCGCATTTTAAAAGTTAAGCCTAATGTCTCATAGTAGTATAGTAAATTAAGTTAGTTGGTTCACCAACTTCAGCGTTGTTCTAACCAATGGGACCAGAAATTCACTATGTTTTAGGTTTTTTGTATTTTACAAATTTTAGTAAAGATGTTTTGATCTTTTTTTGTTTGTTTGTTTGTTTGCATTCTATTTAAAGACATTCTGATCAAATTAATATAGCTGATAATAATTCCTCTAAGTTTTCCCATCTATTTTGGTCTTCCAAGGGAAATTGAGTCATTCATTTTATATCTATTACCAATATTTGTTTTACTAATTGCTAAATGAAATGTGGCATTAATGCCATTTTCTTCTAATATTGCAATTCTGTTGTACGACAGTTTGTCTTATTTGAAGCGCCAACGCACTCTGGCTAGAATTACGATTTCACTAAAAAAATTGAGAAATACTGGAACCACACTTTGGCTGAATTCAAGCTTTAATCAAAATGAATTTCTTTATGTCTTAAAATAGATATTAACAACACTGAAATTGTAAAATTCATAATTTACAACTGACCATGGGAAAAGAAAACCTTTCTTTAGCATCATAAACTGACGTTTCCCAAATTTTTTTCAAGTGAAGACAGCTTTTATAAATTGGAATGTTTTGCAGACTACCTTATTCATGTTCCTTTCTAAATAAATTTTTTAACATCTGTTACTACCAGTACACTTAAATATTTCAAATGATGAATAAAATTCCGTTTAATTTTATTGCGGTATTAATCGGTTAAGTTAATGAAAGAAAAGTTATATTTGTTTCTTATAATTCAAGGCTACTGGAGTTTGAGTGATCTTTATCTTATTAATTAAAAATGAAAGAAATGTTGGTACTCACATTAATGCATGGATGAACTTGTCAATTCTTGCACAGCTGTTCTATTTTGAATGTATGCTGGTAAGTCTGAGATTGGCACATACATTTAATCGATTTGGGTCCTCGTTTTTATTTGAGTTAATGAAAGCCTCTTTTTCCACAGATGCATAGAAGGAAATGAATTGTAAGTTTTAGAATGAAATTTTTCAATTTATCTGTTTTTACTGGTAATGAGGTCCAGAAATTAACCATACCTGTTACTTGGAATTTCATTTTAAGTTCGTTTATGGAGTTCAACCAACTGTTCTCTTTCATTCAATGACAGCTTATTATTTACAAAATTGCAATGGAAAGGATCAAGAATGCATGAAAATTCATTATATTTGGCCACTTAAAAAATAAATTTCAAACTCTAACCCCAGAGTTTTGAAATGTGAACATAAATCATTACAAAATTCTTTTGCAATAATGATATAATTTTCTTCTTTAAAGAAGAATTCTAAGGTCGGAAAATGGTATACAATTTCTCTGTATACAATAAACTCGCAAACTCAACTGTATACAATAAACTTGCAAACCAAATTCCTTTCTTTTAATTTCTCATGGCAAGTGAGAACAATCAAGAAGTTACCTTGTAGACAGACATTTAGTTATTTAGTTTTGAGAATACATCGTAAAGATATGCCAGTATACTCTGCCCCACATGATATCAGCAAGGTATGTTGTAAAATTTTGTTACTTTCTTTTACAAATAGCGCAGCATTTTTGTAAATGTAAGAAGACCACAAGGGTAGGCTTCAAAGACCACTTGTGGTTTGCAGTCCATAGTTTGAGAAACACTGTCATAAACTATTAACTAGCTATTTTCTTCTTCCATTATGTTGTTTGAAATATGTCTCATGTTTTTATCTTTGTATTTATTGTACATGCTTTTAAGTTTTATCATTTTAAATTAATTTTTATTTTTCAGAAAACAATCTAAAAATCAGTTGAATTTAACTCTTTCAACACCCTTCTGTTTCATGCACAGTCATGCTTCAAATTTCTAACAAGGATGCCACACTTAATATAACAGGTTTAATACTTTATAATATGGAACTTTTTTGAAAGAAGCCCAAAAATAAGGATAAACCCATTTTAAATTAGACAATCTAAACTTTCAAGCAGTAAACTCACTTTTGCATATTAATAATAATAATAATAATACCTAAATTGTAATAATAAATTATTCCAAATTCAGCTGCTGCAATAAGGAGACTGCATGCAGAAAGAGGACAATTCATCCACTGTTTCATGTTGTGGAAGGAAAGGAGGGAAAAGCTTTTTCTTTTTATTTGCCTGTGTGAAAAACATTATTTTATTAACGATGCTGATACTTGGACAAAATGCTGAGGCAGAAACAGAGAAGGCATTATTTCAATGCAATTCATGCATTGGAATAATTCATTGATCATGCAATTCATGTTAATTTAAATTTCTATTTCTAATAAAATTCGTGATTCACTGCAAAGCTGTATGCTGGAAATAATTAATAAGGATTTTATTATACAACTGAATTAAAAAAACAATAATTTCTTTTTCACAATTACAGATTTATAGGCATGTATTGCATACCTTGAGACCTTAAACAAGTACTATTAAATAAACTTAAATTTTATTTTTATTTATGTATTTATTGTTAATGTTATGATGTTCTAATTAAAAATAATAGTAAATTAGTGTATTACTCTAATCGAAATTATCTGAGATCTAACCTTATGTTGCAGTCTGCATTTTTCCTTAAAAATTACTCTAATGGAAAGGGGGGGTTCCTGAAAGTTCTTACCATCAGATAATTTTGTTAGGAACATTCTTAAATTTAAAGATATAATCTTTTTTTTTTTTTTTTTTTTTTTTTTTTTTTTTTTTTGTGTGTGTGTGTGTGTGTGTGATGATATAATTAAATTTTAAGAACCTATTTCCTTAATTTTTTGTTTAAGAAAAATACATGGATTTTCGGATTTTCATTACTTTGAATTTAACATTTATTTAATTTTTGAAATTCTGGTTTTTAAAAATGTTTTTATAAATTTATAGCCGTAAAAATGCATTTGATTTATTTGTTGCATTGGATGAAAAGAATGAAGCATTTGGAGAACTGTACTGGGATGATGGTGATTCATTAGGTAAATGAAATCATTCTTTTGTTGTAAAAATTCATGTATTGTATCATGTAAAGTATTGACAATTTTGTACAGTAAAATCTTTTTAAGGTCAATACCCTCAATGCAAGATGAATCTAATATTTTCTGGAGATGGTTATTTCAGAGGATACGATAATTAATGATGTTAAATACAGTTATTTAATTATGTTCTCAGAAATACTAGTCATCTTCTAGGTCAGATGAATATAATTTAGCACCCGCATTTATTAATAGCGTATGCCTATGAATTCATAGGGCCCACCTATGGCCGAGAGGATAAGAACATTGATACTAATTCAGAAGTCAAACAACAAAAATCAGCGTTATACCTACAAAATTTTCACAGGACTAGTTTCGATGGTTTTACCGAACCATCATCTTCAGCTGTAAAACCGCAAATGAACAAGATAGGAAATAATGATTAGATAAGATAAGAAAGCCTGGACAAGAATAAGCAAGTGGCGCCATCTGTTGGCGAAACCAAAACTAAAACATAATTTCTCTAAAAGCCGAAGGCAAATTTGGATTGGAATTAGGATCGTTAACTAGAACAGAAAGATTTTTATGAATGTGAAATGCCTCTAGAAAATCCAGTTCTCCAATGGAAGATGTTTTTTGAATAATTTTGGCAGCAGAAAAATTGAAAGTGTGATTTTCGGACCAACAATGTTGAGCAACAGAAGACTTCTGTGTTTCCTTTTTTCTAACATATGCCTCATGTTCTTTGACGCGAAATTTTAAGGCTCTCTTAGTTGGCCAATGTAAATTAAACCGCACTGGCAAGGAATCCTATAAATACCCCAGGAATTCATATCCGGAATGGGGTCCTTGAGTATAGAAGTTGGAATTTTATTGATGGGAGAGTAAACAACCCGAAAGTTAAATTTCTGCAAAATATGTGCAACTTTATAGCTAATTGATGGAAAGAAGGGAATGACAACAGAATTTTTATAATCTCCTAAAATAAGAGTGTAGGCTTTTAGTGTGTTGAGATGAGAATTTTTTAACTGCTTGATTAATAATGTTGGGTGAAAAGCCCCTGTCAATAGCTATTGCTTTTAAATAATTTAGTTCTTCATCAAGGGCTAGTTTGGAGGAGCAAACTTGAAGAGCACGGAAAACATAGGAATAAAATGAAGCTAACTTTTGTTTAGTCGGATGACATGATTTAAAGTGTGGTGGAAGGCAAACCGATGAAGGTTTACGGTAAACTGTAGTACTGAAGTTGGATGTGTTACGTGTGACCAGAATGTCGAGAAACGGAAGAGAATTGCAAGTCTCAAGTTCAAAAGTGAACTGAATAGCAGGATCAATAGAATTCATTGTTGAAAGAACTTTATTTAAATCATCTTTATTACCTTCAAACAGGGTAAAAGTATCGTCTACGTAGCGGAACCATGCCGGGAAGTTTAAAGTTTCAAACAATTTTGATTCATAATAATGCATGTAGATATCAGCCAGGATGGGACTGAGGGGGCTTCCCATGGCTAATCCCTCAGTTTGCTTGTAATATTTATTTTGGAAAACAAAATGTGTTTGTTTCAAACAGAGTTGAGTGAGAGAAATTAGCTCATCAATTTCGATGCAAGAGAAATGAAATTCGCGAAGTCTGGTTTCTAGACATCTTAATGCACCCTCCACTGGGACATTGGTGAATAATGATTTTACATCAAAAGAAACCATGAGTAAATTACGAGGAGAAATGTTTTTAACCTTTTTTACAAACTCTATTGAATTTTTTATGGTGTAAATGTTATTGTCTAATAGAGTGGAAAATCTAGAAACTAAATATTTAGCTAAAGGATACGAGGCAGTACCTAAATTTGATACAATAGGGCGGAAAGGAATACCACTTTTATGAATTTTGGGAAGAGCATATAATCTGGCACAATTCGCAACAGATGGGATAAGCGAATGTTTTAAGTTGCTTGAAATGATTTGCGAAGATTTGATCGCAGTTTTTATTTTGGATAAGTCCGAAGGTGAAGGATCTTTAGGGATCGGATTATATGGTCCTTCGTTTAAGAGTTTAGTGACACCATCGATGTAAGTGTTCTTATCCATGACGACTATCTGGCCACCTTTGTCGGCCTTTGAAATGACAATATCCGGGTTAGAATGAATTTCGCGCATTGTAGCTCTTTCTCTCGCAGTTAGATTTGGTTTCAAAGGTTTATTATTGAATTTCACATTATGAGCGATAAGATGCCTAATCATTTCTTTCTGTGAATCTGAAACTTTACTGAACTTGAAAGCTTTTTCGATAGGAGCCAAAATCATTGGAATCGAGGGTTTACAGGTTTGTGAGAAGTTAAAATTATATTTTAGAATTCTCTCTTGTTCTTCTGAAAGACTAACATTAGAAATATTAACTATTGGCTTGATGTTTACAATGGGAAGATTTTTTGAACTACTTGGACTGGAAGACTGTAAAAGAAGTTTTTCGAATTTAACTGCAAGGGTGTTTTTATGACGGTTAACTGCATTCTCCGTTCTAGACCAAGACTTTTGTTCAAGGGCAGTGAATTTTGGATATGTTTTAGCGAGTTCCAGATGAAGCTTATAGAGTTCATGTTCAATTTTGGACAATTGTTGACGTGTATCCCTTATCACGGACCGAAGTAAGGCAAGTTTGCAATTTAACAGAATTCTTGAAACGCGACTCGAAGGTTTTTGATTAGATTTGATTTGAATAAAATTGGGGATCAATTTTTTACATTTATTGTTCAACATTGATAGTTCAATGTTGGTTCAAATCCTGGAAAACAGACTGGCTACATAGAAGTTTTCATGTTTCTTCTGATGTGCAACAGGAATATGAGCTAGTTTCCGTTAAGAAATTCTCCAGGAAAGCATTCCTCTTGTTAGGCAGGTAGCCCTAGTGTGCTTTTCCATAATCTAAAATGCCATGAAAGGTTTCACTGTAATTCTAAATATTCACATTTAAATCTTCATATGCTTTGTATCTGAATTGAAACTTTGTTCGTATATATATATCTAACTCCCAAATCATAAAAAATATATTAACAAAACTGCTATTACGGTAATATTTTGCTCCATTATAGTAACTGCTAACATACTATATAAAGTTATTGTTAATATCTGCATCCAAAATCAGGATTTATGTCTAATATCAGGATTTGTTGCAGGAAATTTAAAGTTGTATTGCACATTTTAATTTTATTTCTTTGCAAACACATTTATTAAATTCTTGACAAACACAGTTGTAAGGACTTGCTTTAAATCTGAGCCATGATGCAATCTCAAAATTTATTGATATGGTCCCAGTTAACCTCACATAATTTATTTTCTCAAACATTTTGATATCAGATTGTTTTTTTTCTAATCCCACTCTCCTTTTAACTTTAAATTATAAGTAAATGCATATTACTTCTCATTCTTCACCTTCTCTAAAATAAAATTTAAAAAAAGTTTAAAAATAGTTTTTTCAGCGTGTGATATACTTTTTGAATGTACTAATTCCACCTCCTTCTGATTATCTGCATCCTGCAAAAACATTACAAAAACTGTTCATGAAAGCTAAGTTTGTCGCTGAAATAGTAATGCAGCAACCCACAATGTTGTCAAAAAATATATATGTGGCAACCCAGGTCTGCAAATGTGTGTTTTGGCCAGTGCACAATGCTTAAGTTGTGAAATTCTCTGATATTATTATTATTATTATTATTATATTATTTTTTAACAAACACAGATTGCCATGTACATGGGAAGAAAGACGGTGAATATAGTACATATCTGTTTTGACAGTGTTTAATGCTGAAGTTGTCCATTTCCGAGTTTCTAAAAGTTGCAATTTTCTGATGTCTTTCTAAACGAAAATAGATAGCTGTGTACATGTGGAGAACAGTAGCTTAGGAGGAAGGAATTCTTAGTGTTTCATTATTTTGAAAATGGATGGACCCTTTTGCACATTAACTTGTGAAAAATAAGTTGGCAGTAAGTTCAGAAATGCTCTCCAAAGTCACCTTTCATAATATTTTTGGTGATGATGCTGGTAATCAGAAAGTATCGCCATTTCATAAAAGTGATTAAAAAAGAGACAGACATAGTTGTTGGTTATTAACTTCCTATACTTTCATTTTAAGCCAGCTAATTTATTAAACTACTTCAAATCAGTAGATGCTTTATAGCCTTCTTTCTGTAAGCAGATTACTTTTATATAAATTTACCATAATTCAGGTAGATATAAATATAAATATGAAAAGTTGATATAAATGACAACATTAAATGTAATAAGTTTTTTTCATGATCATTTGTATGTGCACAGAATGATAAAAATTAAGGCAACTTCATAAAATTAAAAACTTTGCTTTTTTTTTATTTTGAAATGCTGGTAATTATGAGTCATTTTCCTATATCGTCTTCAGGTTTTTTAGGTAAGGCAGAAGGTTAGCATTAATCGAAAAATAAGGATAGCTGTGGTGCTTGAAGGTTGGAAACTGATTTCCTTTCAAAGCATGGTCATAAAGATAAATATAGATTTACAAAATCAAATTTGAAAGTGACTGTGAAAGTAATGTAGGTTTCTTAACACGTGGGGAGACATTAGGGCTTGAATTTTTAATTTAATTATAAATTACTGTATGGGAACTCTTGAAGACCCATTTGCAAGTGTGGGATGCTATATGTTCATTCATTAATAATCCAAGGATTTTTTATACATTAAACATACTACAATGTATTGATTTATTAAAATTTTGATTAATAATTATATACTGTAGTTGTTTATTTTCTTGCTTTCAGATACATATAAAAATGATGCTTTTAATCTCATTCAACTATCTGCTCAAAATGTGAGTTGTAAAGTTTTATTTATTATTTTATTTCATACTAATTGGTAAGGTCTATAATTAAGAACAATAAATGTAATATGAAAGATGAATTTTTAATAATAATTATCAAGCAATTTATAATAAGTACTAAAGTTTGCAAGTCTTGTTGTAGCAATTATATTCTTCAACTGTGTAATGAAAAAAAAAAAGTACCAAAAAAGAAATCAAATTTGAAATAATTATTAGTGATACATGGGGAAGGATTCTGTGATTGATAATAATTTTAAAGTGTTGTCAGTTTTTACAGCTGTACAGAGAGCTCACTCAGTAATCTAAGTTATATTGTAAATCTGTCTGTTACGAAAAAATAATGTATACTTCACTGCATATAACATATAAGTTTTATATTCCATTTTATAAGATTATATATATAGATCATTACATATCTTTTCCATTTAGGGCTGTAAAGAATAATTAGAGTAAAGAGTAATTTCCTCTGCACTTGCTGTAAACTATAATTTTGTTGTAGCTGTGGTTGAATTTTTTTAAACAAAAATAACAGTATCACCATAGCACAGTACTTTTTATAAATTTTCTTTGTATTGAATGTTAATAAAAGAAATTTTGTGAGTGCATTAAATCAAAACACATTTACTTTTATTCCTGTATCATAATAGTGCTGCTGTTACAAATTGTAACAAATGGAAATGCAGAAAGTAGTTTTGCTTTCATGTCAAACAGCAGAAAACTGGAAAAATTGGTGTTGTAAATTAATAAAATTACTGAAAGGAAACTTGTAACAAAACTTTTATATGCTGAAGAATCCATAAACGACTAAAATATAGATTGATAAATAAAAGTAAAAAGGTGAGAATAAAGAGTCATAATTATATGACAACATTCATCTGTACACTGTTAAATTAACAGATCCTCCTGACAGTTTTTCTGGAAATCACTGAAATAGTCCTCCTATAGCTGTACATTAAAATATTGTCAATGAAAGTCATTTAGGGAATTCACTGATGAAAGTCATTTAGGGACGTCTTTCTGTTACTCCTGTATATTCATGGACAGCTTAAGCTTCAGAAAAAGGAAAAAAATCGGGGATAAGTCGGGAGAATATGGATGGTTTATCATTGAAGCTGAGTATTTAGCAAGGTATTGTACAGACAATGCTATATGGGGCCTAGCATTATGATGTAAAAGTAACCATTGCTCAAAATCAAAAAGTTCCTTCCTAATTTATCCGGTTTCTTAATCGAAAAGCAGCTCCTTGTAAAAATACTGATTAGTTGATTGATTTTCAAGGACAAATCCATGGGGAATAAGTCCTTTCTAATAAAAAAAAATGTAATCAGCATCACCTTAGTCTTGAATTTTATGAACAACACTTTTTTAAATATGGGAGAGGACAAGTCTTTTTTACTGTGCACTTTATCTTTATGTTTTGGGGTCATACAGTAGACACCAGGTTTCATCTCCCGCTACTATATACTTTAAGAAATTGTTTTCGTGATGCACAATAGTCACAGCAAGCTTTTCTGTCTCCTTTTTGCTGATCTGTTAAAATCCGAGGCACAAACTTTTCTTCATTTTCAAATTTTCAACTAAAAGTAACCTAAACCTTTCTTTGCTTATCCTAAGCATGTCTGAAAGTTATTGAGTTGTTACGTGTCTATCAGCTTTTACCAAAGAATTAATTTTCTTCACATTTTCCTCATTCTTTGAAGTTCAAGGATATCCTATCTTTGGTTCACGTTCCACACTTTTGTGCCCAAGTGGTTGTACCACTCATACATTTGCGTTGTTGATAACAATGCATTGCCATATACTGTTAGAATCATCTCTAGCATTTTGGTTTTGCCTAATCGAAGCAAATTTTTTTGTAGAACATCTTCATAATAAATGAAATTGACTTCAACATTGTGATATGCAAAAGACAAAATAACCAGTTTAAACTAGCTTTAACTAGAGCTGATGTGTCACTGTTTCTAAACATACACTTTTTTATCATTTGGCCTTTTAATTTGTCCAGCTACTTTATGGGCAAAGTCAGTTACTTATACAAATGCAAATTTACCAGCCAACCTGGACCTAGTTTAAAACTCCAAGCTTCATTTCACAAAAGTTTTAAAATGCAGCAAATTAAACTTCATTTGACTAAAGCTTACAAGATTGCCTAGACCATAAAAGAATTTCAAGCAAACACTTACCAAAACATGATCTAACCTCAATATCTAATCAGTGTTCCCAGTAAGACCAGCATTGTTGTCATCAACAGGCAGTTTTCTTCAATTGGCTGGATGGCAGAATACAGGCTTAACTTTTATGCTTTTATCCATAAATCTCTAAATTTTATAAATTTTATAGCAGAAATGCTTGTCACTCAAATCTGCATAAATTCTGAAATTAACAAAACTCATGGCAAAAACAGGCAGAAAAGAAAGAAGTAAACTAAAATAAGATTCCATTAGTATAACTTAAATATAAATGTCTCAACCTTTATCAGTGATTTTACTTACAGTGCCAGAAGATATTTTTAGTTTTTATGCAATATATCATCAGGAAAAACAGTTTGTTGATATTTAACATATTCAGACAGACTTAGGGTATGGTTTTGCAGTCATTTGTTTATTTCTGTTTTCAGCTGGATTTGTTTTTTTCCTTTCAAATTAAATATATTAAAAATACCTTTCTTTGAAATGCAACAACATGTTTTTTTCCGCTGCTTTACAATTTGTTGGTACAAATATATTTCTATGGGAAGTGCATTTATGTAATCTTTGAGTTGTCTATCAATTTTAAGAGCCATTTCCAAAATAAATTATTAATTCTGAACTCTAGTCAAAACAAAATAATGACAGATGATTATGCTAAAAATGCCAAATCTTTAACTCAAAAAATGCCAATTAGAAAAGTTAAATAGAAAATCATTTTGGTAAAATGCAAATAATATTCTCTAGGACAAAAAATTTTAAAAAAGAATTTGAAAAATATTCATAATTACATACATTTTTTACTAACCTGATACAGTTAAAAGTCGTTAATCCGGACTCGTCGGGACTTCGGCGATTCCGGATTATCGATTTTTCCGGATTATAGATCATCAGTTTAAATCTCGTAAGATGGCATGAAGAAATTCTAAAATTAAAAATATGAAACCGTAATTTATGAAATAAAGAACAATTATGATCTAAAGGGTATCAAAATTTACAAAAAAAAAAGCTTAATATTTATTTGTTTATTTTATTAAACATTTCTTTCAGTGTAAGTTGTTTAAGTTGCTTCATTTTATATGATAATACTTTCTCTTTAATTCTATAAACAGACATAATTTTTTGTTCAGTTACAAAGTTCAAGTCCTGTAATTGCTGTGCCGAGAATACCGACTAACTTGTCAATCGAAATTTTTTCGTTTTCACTAACCTCTCTGTCACCTTCTTCATGTCTTTATCCATTTTATGCAGCAATTCCACTTTTTGTTTGACGGACATCGAAACATACTTTCGTTTTGTAGATCCTTTGGGAGCTCCAGCATCGGAAATTCTATTTGACATAATTGAACGTTCAAGTTTACTTTTATGAAATTGCTCTTACAGTCTGCAAAAAATAATAAATCGCATCCAGTTCGAAGATTAAGGAGCAACGCAATCATCAACATTAACTGAAATAGATAATTAGATAATTTTAGCTTATACCCTCCGTTATACATTAAATGCGCACGCGAAAACGTATTCTGCGCTTGTGCACACGCCTATGCGCAGTTGTAAAGGTCTTACGCGCAAACGCCTATGCGCATGTGTCAACGCGGCGCATGCGCAGAAAGTTTTTAGCTTTGAGATCCGGATTATAGATCATTCCGGATTATGGGTGTCCGAATTAACGCCTTTTGATTGTATTATAAGTAATTTATGGAATCTGGTACTTGAGTGCCTTTGAAAGTATTAGGCAAGAACTTTCAAATACTTTGAAAGTATTAGTAAATTATATTACATCACAATATCTTGAGTGATTTGCATACATTTATAACCATTCGTTGGATGTGTATATTAGCAGAGGCTTATATTTACTCTTTTAAATATGCACATCTGTACACTTTTATGCATTTTTTTTAATATTCTAATAAATTTTGAAAAGTGCATCTATTAAAATGAAAGAAATAACTTTCTAGATGTACTTAAAAATGGGGGAGGGATGTGAACATTTACGTTACTTTTCTATGCTGCTTTCGTTAAAAATAAGTTTAAAACATATCAGCTTAAATTATTTGAAAACATGAATTTTACACAGCAGCACTTTTTTTAAAATCTACCGTATTGTACTGTCATGAAACTCTCTGAGGCATGTTAGGATTCCTATAAATTAAAATTATCATTACAATGAATTTTTAGTAAGAAGAAAACAATTTTGTATATTTTGGGTAAATATCTTTCTGCTATCTCTTCCCTACTGTACACTAGATTCAGTTTTAACTTTTCATTTTATTTTAGGCCTTCTGTTCAGGCAACCTTTTACTGCATTGTAGCCTTAGTACTATAAAATACTTCTTGGGCTTAGCGTATTTTCGTTTGTATATCCATCATTTTATTTTTAAATTCAATACACAAATCACCTTAACTACTTCTAGTTATATATGCTAAAGAAACTGGATAAATTGACTGATAGTGTCATATTTTAAAAATTTTCATGGTGCATCATGTCATTTCTAAAGTTCCATTAAACAATTGAATCAAAGCATTATAAAAGGCATTAACTGCAGAATGTATTTTAATATTTTTGTGATGTTTTGGGTCATGAAAAACTGGCAGAAATGATCAAAATATCAGAGTTAAAAAGATATGTTTATTATTGTGATTTTTTAGTATTGTGTTTCCCTAGACATTCATATTAGCTTTAAAGTAAGACCTAATTTGATATTTTTAAAAATAATTTTGTATATGGAATTATCAGAAATCTTTCAGGGGCCTGTCAAATCATTTAGCTTTTTTAAGGAAATTCAGATAAATATAAAATTGGGAAATAAGTGATAAGTGTTACATTATCCCCCCCCCAAAAAAAAAGCATTTTGTTTTGTAGTTTTTAAGAAATTGTGTGTATACAAATTAAAATTGAATGGAAGATTTTTAGAAAATTAAATTCAATGGTCCTATCTACTGCTTTGATTTTCATTTCTTATCTTAAAAATATAGGTTTCCATAATTTTTTATATACTTTGCAAAGCTATAAATGCTCAATGGCTATAATTAGTATAGAATAAAGCAGTAACTGCAAATAAGTTATTACTTAAAAGTTACTATAAAACTTACTAAAAAGTAACTACTTACTATAATTAAAAGTTAAAATTTGTTTAAAAAATAAGTGGGACAGAAAAGAAAGTTTAAATTTTCTGGCATTTTTATATTTTAAATGTGTAGGCTGTAAGGTAGGAGTATGGGTTTTATATATATAATTCTGATTATCCTTCCACACCTGACAAGAATCACAGAGCAAAGCACCTACTTTGGCAACATGGCAAAGCACACAATGTTGTCAAAGTAGGCAAACCAGAATTTTACATAAATGTATTTACCTGGCAATCGACTAATTTTTGTGCATGCAGTTAAACAGTTTTAAATTTGAGGATCATATTTATGGTCTCTACTTATTGTGATTAGTGTGTGGAGTTTTTTTTTTTTTTCCTTTTTCTTGTAATGAATCATAATGCCATTGTAGAATTTACATGCTAATGAAAAAGAAAATGTTTTAACGTGTTATGTTTGAAAAAAATTGTCACCTGTGATTTGAGGCTTTGCAAAAGGGTTGAGCAGATAATCAGAGAGTAGCAAAAAAATTTTTAATATGATTTATTGATTCTGAAGTCTTCAGTAAAATGGAAATGAAAGGAATGAATTTTCATATTTGATTGTATGGATATAGTTATACTGAAATTCCAATTCTGTTATGAACTTCAAGGTGTAATTTACTTTTACAGAATGTTTTCATCTCTAGTGTGGTTAACAAAGGATATAATGATGCTATGAATTTGAAAGAAATTAGAATATATGGTGTAGGTGATGATGTCAAAAATGTAACTATTAATGACCAGCCTACGTCATGTAATGTCACGAAGGTAAGTTTTATTTTAAAGGACTTTTACTGAAGGGCCTTCAGTAATTTCAAGCATTGATATGAATGTTGGTTTTGTTGTGAATGTAAATTAGAAAGTACATTTTATGGCATAAATATTTAATAATATATTTATTTCTTGAAGAATTACTGCAATAAAATATTAAAATAATTAGCAGATCCTGGACATTAACCAAGTACAGGACTGAAGCTGAATATTCTAGATAAAACACTGAAAAGAATTAAAAAAAAACGGGTTAATTAAAACTTTGGTAATTCTTGTTGTTTGAGTGTTTGCTTTATACCATATCATTTTTACGTGAGACTTGAATTAATATTTTTCTCTCACATAATGAAAAAAAAAAAAAAGTCTGAAGATTATTTTCATGTCTAGATGTGGGATGGGTAAGACAAAAGCAAAAATATTCAGTGGTTATGTTATGCAGTGATTGTACAGAAATATAACTTGAACTATGGGAAAGCATGCTGAGTAGTTTTGCAGTGCTCTGACTGATATAAATGAAGATAAAATGATAAGATATTAATACATGATGCCTGTCCTCTTATACATTACTTATTGACTGTGCCTCTCGCACTATGAAATTTCTGATGGCTGAATATGACATGAAATCTTCACTGCCATCACTTTTAAGGTCTTTCAATATGAAGTATATTGTATTTGGTATTTCTCTATTGTAGTCTTTCTTTAAGTGCTATTTTAGGATTTAAGATTTATTTAATATTATTTGGTAAGTTTTTTTGGAGGGGAGGGGAGGGACGGGGGCAGATGAACCTGGATGTATTAAAATTTTTCCATGTTAACTCTTTGACTACTAACGGGTCATATGTGTTCCATTACAAGTTGAAAAATTACGGTGGGTTAAAAAGTACTTAGAATCTTCTGAATGTTGGAGATTGCTACATGTGGAACATATGTATCCCACCATTAACTACGGCTGGGTCTCAGCCTTTGGCTTGTAAACTGTTTCAAAAAAATCTCAAATGCTAAATTTACCTTATTTATGACATATGTTTACTTGGATAAAAAACTTTTTTTTTTTTTTTTTTTAAATTCAGTGGGTTAATTAACATTAACTGCTTCAGTGCTTTACTTTTTTATGTGTGTGAAAGTGTGATTGTTTTTTACAAAATATTTCACAGGAACACTTAATGTGAATAATTTGTACAGAAGTTTTGCTAAACAGAACCTTTGAATATATAGTACTGCCAATTGATCATATTGATTACCTAATGACTTGAGTTATTTATGATTATTCCTTAAATCATAAATAAATTATGCCAATTTAATATTTCTGATTTAATAAAAATATTAATAAAGAATTTTTTTTCGTATAGTTACCATTTTCAAACAATTTTTATTTATTACTGGTGTTTACCAATTTTGATGATTCTTTTCCCCCTTGTATTATTAAAACTGGTAAAAGTCAGTATTTTTGCAATTTCTAGCATTATTTTCCTCAGAATCAGCCAGATGAGTTTGTCATAGTTTTGACACAGCAAAAACTCAGTTATGAACCTTGATTTTTATTTCTTTGTTGCTAAGAAATTCAAGAACAGCTCGGAAAAAGAGAAGACAAGTCTTATTTTATCTCTTTACATTCCAGTTTTGACAGAAAATTAAATTAATGTGCCAATTTGTTTAATCCATCTTGAAATAATTGTAACTTTTCCATGCATGTCTATAAATGAAACCAGTTCTGAGGTAAGTTGAAACCTGTGTGGGATATAACAGGACAAACTTGATGTATATGTCCCATTCAGAAGCATATTTTATGACAAAAAAATAGAGCAAGGAAAACCGTATACAGGGATGTTTGTGCTCTGGGGAAACCCCGGAATTCCGGGGATTTTGAACTTCGATCATCGTCGTTTAAAAGGAAGTAGGAATAATAATGAATTATTTATTTTGATCTGGGTAATTTTGTTTGCTTTGAAAGCAGAAAACGCAAGGTCAGTGTGTGTGGTGAAAACTTTTCCTTTCTTTCTCCAAAGGCAGTGATAATGCGTGAAAAGGGGGGAAAAACTTATTTTTTTGTTCTTTCCTTATTGCGAATTATGACTCATTCCCCGGTTCTCGGACATTCTCTTCTGGATTCTTTTCGGCAAGTAGGCGCGGCAGAAAAAAAAAGGGAGAGACTTCGTTCGACCAGATGTGCGATCACGTGACTCTGGCTTCAAAGGTCTTATCTCTCCTGGCATGGCGCCAATAAGTAGAGAAAGGGGATTTTTTGGCGTAATAGCTATTTGTCAATGGACGCTTCCTCAACTTTTTTTCTCCGCTGTGTAAAATTTTCGTTTCATTTATTGATGCACGTGTAAATTTTTTCGTTTCGTTTATTGAAATATTTTTTATTTATGTACGCAAGAGAATTTCACTATGAAATTTCTCGATATAAATAGTGATATTATACAATTAGAAGAAGGTGTCCAGAATGCATTTAGGTGGAATTGGATTGAACGGAGAGATCGTAATGGGGATACCATCGGCACATGGTGCAAGAAAATAAATGTTGCTGGACAAGCATATTGTGTTTTTTGTAACTCACTGCTGAAGTATGGTGGGGAAGGATTCAAGGCTTTCACAAATCATTCTAAAACTGTGACGCACATAAAATATTCAAAGTGCATTAGACATTCAATGACTTTAAGTAATTATGCTAATTCAAAAAATACTGATGACTTACTGGAGACTGATGCTCGGCCATTGGATATAGTGACAAGAAAAGCACGCCAAGAGGTATTAATAACTTCGTTTATCGCCGAGAATTCTCTTTCTTTCAATGTAGCTCCCAATTTAATTGAACTCTGCAAACAGTTAAGCCGCGATCAGACGGCACTAAACTCGTTGGAAATGTCCAGGACTACTGCATGTTATAAGATGAAATATGGGCTCGCAAAAACTATTAAGGAAAATATCATATGGAATCTTGCAATTCAGAAGCTGTTGTTAAAGCAGTTGTTAATACTATTGAAGATAATAATATTCCATGGGCAAACTTAATTAGTGTATTAATGGACTCATGTAACACCATGCGTGGAAAAAAAAAAGGGTTTTGAAACCAGACTACGATCAAACAAAGCACCCCACTTATTAGATATTGATGGTGACACATGTCACACAGCTAATAACTGTGCAAAAAAATTTGCTTCATGTTTTGATAGATACTTAGAAGATTTGTTTGATGACATCTATTTTGATATGAAAAACTGCAGTAAAAGAGAAATTTTTTTCAAAATCTGTGAATCCCTTGCCATTAAAATAAATCATCATTTCATTTCTCTCCCCCCCCCCTTCTCGAAACTCCAAAATGTCGGTAGTAAGTCCGTAAAAGTTTCAGGGGATTTTTTGGGGTCCCACAAACACCTCTGTGTATATGAAAAAGGAGCAAAAAACTATTAATATGGTGAATTTTAAGACACAATAACACGCCGAACAAATACTAATTCAGAAGTCAAACCAAAAAATCGTCGTTATATTCTCAAATTTTCACAGGACTAGTTTCGATGGTTTTACCGAACCACCATCCTCAGCTGCAAAAACGCAAATGAACAAGATAGGATATAATGGTTAGACTAGATAAGAAAGCCTGGACAGAAAATAAGCTAGTGGCGCCATCTGTTGCTGAAACCAGAACTAAAACATAATTTCTTTAAAGGCCGAAGGCAAAGATGGATTGGAATTAGGATTGTCAACTAGAACAGAAAGAGTTTTTTGAATGTGAAATGCCTCTAGAAAATCCAGTTCTCGAATGGAAGATATTTTTTGAATAATTTTGGCAGCAGAAAAATTGAAAGTGTGATTTTCGGACCAACAATGTTGGGCAACAGAAGACTTCTGTGTTTCCTTTTTCCTAACATATGCCTCATGTTCCTTGATGCGAAATTTTAAGGATCTCTTAGTTTGGCCAATGTAAATTAAACCACTCTGTCAAGGAATCCTATAAATACCCCAGGAATTCATATCTGGAATGGGGTCCTTGAGTATGGAACTCTGGAATTTTATTGATGGGAGAATAAATGATTCAAAAGTTAAATTTCTCCAAAATATGTGCAACTTTATAGTTAATTGATGGAAAGAAGGGAATGACAACAGAATTTTTATGACCTATCTCGTTCATTTGCGTTTTTGCAGCTGAGGATGGTGGCTCGGTAAAACCATCGAAACTAGTCCTGTGAAAATTTGAAAATATAACGCTGATTTTTGTTGTTTGACTTCCGAATTAGTATAGTGTATTTTATTTTTAGACATTTTTGTTTTATTTGCTGATAGAATTTCCGTGAAATTTGTGCATACGGTCTGCTAAAACAAACTCTAGACAGTCACAGCATTTTCCAGATTCAGTTCTTGGACTTTAGAAAGCTTGTTAAGGTGAAACTGAAACTGAAATAGTCCGAATTTTAGTTGAATTCCTTACAATGGAAACTACTATATAAGCTACTATTCAGATAGTATCTCATACAGTAGCTACATAAGTAGTATTGGGAGATAATGCAGAACATCTGCTGCCAATGGCATGGCATTTCTTGGGCAAGTTCAGTCTTGTAGCTTATTCTATAAATGTAAATCAATGTCATTGCCTTAGTTCTGACCAAGAAGCTTGATGTTTTAGTTTTTTAATCGTATTGTAAAACTGCAACACTTCTGTGAATAATAATATCATTAGTTCTTCATTAATTCACCTAGATTGTTTATAGTACAAAATTGTTTTAATGTCTTTCTTGGAATTGATGAAAACCACAAAATAAAAATGTATATTAATGAAAAATTATAGCAGGAAGAGAATAAAACAAATCAGCTAATTCATGTTTAAATAATTTTATTGCTTAATATGCTGACACTATGCTATGTCAAACACAAATTCGGAGGTTGCTATCCTTTGGCTATGAGAAATGCTCCTCCCCCCTGTGGCAGGCACTTGCCTATAACAGCATTGGCCACTCTTAAGGCCAGAAGTGGTGGTCATTTTATTGTGGAGGCACCTAACAGGCAGCCACTGTTATCTTCTATGAAGGGACAGACAGTTTTACATCCATACCTTCTCCAGGCTTCGAACCCGGGCTTTTCAGTATTGCAGTCAGGCTTCCCTAACCACTATACCACCTGGGAGGCCTATGAGAAATGATTAATGGGAATCAGACAGTTGGCCATATAATAAAATGGAAATTGAAAGCAATATCAAGAACATAATCCTTTTAAAATGTCGCCCATTAAAATGTTTTACTAATGTAACTAACTGTAATGTTCTAAAATCATGTTAAAATTATAACTTCTTTTTTAAAATACACATATTTCAAATATTTCCTTGCTAATTTAGCACTTTTTCCAGCTGTTCACCTGAGGTGAATAATATGCCTCACTTACATCCATGTCCTGACTCTGAAGCAGGCCATTATATGCTTTATTCAACTAATGGTGTATTAAGGCCTAATATATCCATAAGTACATTTCAGCATGGAAATACCAACCAAATTTCTGCAGATAGAAGCAATTGTATCAGGAAACTAAAACTAGATGCAAGTGACAGAAAATACTTCATTGCATTGTGACCAGAAAATATAAAACAGCAGAACGATGCATTGTTTTATATATTACTGTAAATATAAAGAATCCAAGTCAGGTAGAAAAATGCATCTTGTGTAAGTATTTGAAGATTATGAAAAGCAATTTTATCCAAGGCTTTGATTTCAACTGATGGTTTTAATTTCCAAGATGATCGGCAACAAGCTATTTTGTTCAGTATGTCCAATATTGGTTTCAGGAACATGAAAATGAAGTCTAGTCTACTAGTCACCTCAGTTATTAGATTGTAACACTATTTAACCTGTGGGGAGCACTTTTTTACAGCAAGAATAAGAGTAGATTCTCACTACTTGTTTCTATCAGAGAATTAGGACTAGTTAAAGAATAGCCCAAAGTAGACATTAATATTGTTAGCATTTTGTGTTTGTATTTAACCAGTATTGCATGCAAACAGGTCCTACTTTTTATTATTAAATATAGCATATCTTTTGTTAATACTTGATTTTTTCCAACCCTTGTAATTAAAATTGCTATGTATAAAACAAAATGCATTTTTTGTTTCTCTCTCTCTCTCTCTCTTTTTTTTTTTTTATTTTTATGAACAATAGCAGTAATTATTTTAATGCTGTTTCATCTTTTTCTTATAGTATTACTATTTTCTAAAGTATTAGGTGAAATGTTTAAATTTCAGTAGGAATAAATTATTAAAGACTTTTATTTTCCATATTATAATAATTTTTATTTTTAATGTTTTTTTAGACACATATAGCTATAGATGCCTCTGGATTCACATTACTAGAAGAGCTCAAAATTATCTGGAATTAAATATGTGTTCCTGTCATTAGAAAAAGAGTTTCTACTATAAGATCTTTGACATATTATTTCAACTTTGGATCTTTCATAATATATTTAGATATCTACCCTGTTTAAATTGTTAAATTGTAATATATATATTGTTGATCTTTAAAGTTCATCTCTCTCTATATATATAGTGTATATATATATAATTTTGTATATGAATCTTGTAGTAAATGTTATGTTAATTCTAATATTTGAAATAATTTTGCTAATAAATTATGAGTTTTGATGAATTTTAAATACAATTTCTAGTCATTTATAGCATTATTATTTTAAAGCAAATGCTTTGCTTTATATTAAAGCACTCATTTAAATCGGATTTTTTTTTAATTTAAAAGAAAACTAATTTATTAATATACCTAAATTTAATCTTTTGATTATTAGCATTCTCTCACTAAATAAAATTATATATTATATCTTAATATAAATGTAAGAAAATGGAATTTATTTGATATTATGCCCCCCAAATGCTTAAAAATTATTTCATTTCTTTCTAGTTAATAATATACAGTAACCATGTAATGGGAAAAATAAAATAAAATAATTTTATTTTTATTTTATATATTCTTGCATCTTTTTTAAAATAAAATCTTCATTTCATCATCAAATTTCATGAATGAATGGGTTAAATGTCAAAAGACTATCCTTTGGTTCTTTTATTGTGATTGTTGATTTTTTAATAATTTCAGAGTTGTTTATGATTTTGGGTGCTTTTTATTGTTAAGTTTACCCTATTTTATTAAGAGATAAATGTTAATTTCCTAACAAACTGTATATTGCTATTATTAACTGTTATCAAGAACATAAAAATATTTATGTATAATTGCTGTGAATTTTTTGTATTTGTTAATTGACTATGTATCTTATATTTTATAATTTTAATTCTATACAAATGTAAAATGCCGTTTGATCAAAAAATTTAAACACTTCATATATTATGTTTATGTTTGGCATAAATTTTAATTATCTTATTATCCAATAATTTATATTCTGATAACACAATTGTTTACGTTGTTATTTGCAGACAGATAAAACTGTAGCTTTTGATTTCAGTTCATTCAAGTTTGTAAATTAAGGGTAGTCATTTGATGTTCAAAGCTATAATATATAAATTTTTATTATGATGTTTTAATTTATTTTTATTAATATATCAATTTTTATGTCCTTAGTGTTCCTTTCTTCTTAAAATTTGTTCCTTTGCTTCTTAACTGATATTTTAAAAGGTTGTAATACAGGCAAATAGAAGAAATTAATGGGATTGTAAAAAGAAAATACTTAACTGCAGAATAGAAAGATTTTGAAACTCATCTGCTGCTAATAGAACTGCTCAGAATGATAATGTGTCAGACCATGGAAGTAAAGTCTGTGTAAGAAATGGAAGCTTGCATGCTACTCTTTGTGTCCCACTATTTGCTTAGAACTTGAATATTATAAAATAGAATGCACGTGAATGCAGCAAAGCACACAATCCTTTTAGGGGTGCAGTCCCATTAAAGAATTATTTTCTTTTAAAGCTTCCATGCAAAATGTAAATGAAAGCAAGGGAATACAAATTATTATTGTATGTAAACTAAACTTTTTTGTGGTTGTTGTTGCTGTTGTTAATGCTAATGCCATTTCCTTGTGTTCCATAAAGTATACCATGAGCTAATATAAATAAGTTATAGCTCCAACATATTAAATAAATAAACTTAAAGCATCTAAAATTAAAAATAAATTAGAGTCAAAGCAAGGCAATGCATAGTATTAAAATTTCTAAATGCCAGATAAGCAACATCAATCAGATAGGGGAAACCATCAGTCACTCCTACATAGAAAGAAGCTTCAAAAGGAATGCCCGAAAAAGATACATATTTTTTTTTTAAATCCTCCTCAGAAATGAATTCCAGAGTCTTTTAAAACATCTGTAATAACAATAAATAAAATAATAAACCAAAATTGCAATTTAAAAAAGTTAAAAGCATACTGTTCACAAGCTTTTGCCATGACATGTGGCTGAATACAGAGCAGTTTGTAATAGAGCCCTGTATGAAAATTATTTAGCATGAGAAAAAAAATGGAAATACATTGTATTCCATTTTTCTCTTTATTTTCAAAGCTATTAATTTATTTTCAAGCTTCATTCATTTCTAAGCTCTTCGCTCTTTATTTTTAAAGCAAAACTTTTCTATTAAAATTTCCTTCCCTATCATGATACTGTTTCTAGAATTCTCCTTAATGAGGCTTTAAACGTTTCATCATTTTTCATTGGTGTGCTAAAAAAAAAAAAAAAAAAAAAAAAAAAAAAAAGGTTTTTGTATCTGTCATCCCTTGAAACAGTACATTATATATAAACAGGACGTCAATTGTCAATTCAGAGATCGGCTGAGGTACTTCTTAGCTTCTGAGTGGAATTGTAATTCCAGTCGGAGTCCATTCCGATAATTTATTTAAGTATTTATAATTAATTTAATAATTTAGAAAATTTCTATTTATCTCTTTACATTTCTTTTAATTTAATGACTTAATTATTTTAGTTTTTTGTTATTAGCCCAAAGGGGCAATTTGCCCAGAAGTGCTATTAATTTCATTTTGGCATTTTGTGTTGATTCTCTAGAAATGGCGAATCACTTTTTTAATTATAGCCACCAAATATGATCGCCATGTGTTATATTTAAAAACATTAAATAATGAAGAATCTGCATCGATGTATGTATGTTTCTCGCATTGTAATAAAACAACGGTAATTAGAAACATCAAATTTTCAATAACGTAGTCCTAAACTCGAATGTGGGCATCTGAAAGCCTAAATTTGTGATTTGCCTCATTATCTATTTCATACTGTGTAAACTTTAAAGAATTTATGATTAACAAACTCAAGGATTTCAAAGCGAGCAATGGCAACACTGTACAGGAAAAAAATCATTTTTATCTCCAGCGTGCAAGACTGTGTATCGGAAATTCTTAAGGTATACTCTTTTAAATAATTTGCGATATTGCTGTTAAATTGAATTTTATGGTTTAAGGGCGAAGAGCATGATATTTGATATATAAAGTTAACACACAAAATGTTAAAAAAAAATAAAAATGCCCCTTTTGGGCATAAAATAAAATCGGAAAGCTCTCTCTCTCTCTCTTTTTTTTTTTTTACTGTTGTTTTGCTTTTTTGTTGGCATTTCTAATTTTAGAAAGTAAGCCCTGATCGTCATTCAACTCATTAGAGCAAGAATTCTACAGGTGAAACTAGTCGATTTTTTCGTGAAGTCAAAAATTCCAAGAATAGGTAGGGTTTGGAAATACGCATTCTGAAATTAAGTAATCCTGCACTGCATACCAAGCACTTGTGATGCAGCATGTTTTCGTATCTGTGGAAGGAATCTCTTCTAAGAAGTACGGACCGAGAATGAATGTGCTTGCAATGCTGCACCATAACAACCATTTTAGCTTCGTGTAAAGGCGCTGGTGCTACATCATGAGGATTTTAAAAAGCTCAGTGAACGCTGTTCTTGGGTTTTAGGAGTAATCTGCTCTCATCCATCCATAATATTAGCAGCGGGCACCTGCTATCTTCATCATATCCGATGAGGATTTGCAAAGTCAACATGCTGTTATTCGTTCCCAGGTTTCAACATCTAGACGAACTGGAATCCACAAAGAAAGATCCTTAGACCACAGTGCAGAAGATGATGACTGTGGTTTTCGATGCATCCAAACTGCGGGCAAAATTTATGCAGTATGCAATGGACCTGCAGTAATCATATTATGCACTCTCGCAACAATTTCAATAGGAATACATGGTCGTCCGGATCGCGAATTATCATATGTGCATCGAGTTTCTTAAAATTTTCTTACCAAATCAACATATAGTTTTTAAGAAAAATTGCCTCGTCTTATGATTTTGTCGATAAACTTGTACTTCTTTGGTAACATTTTCTCCGTTCAGATAAAGCAGCTTTATGATTTGACCTTTTTTCCCTTATCAGTGTCATGTTGTTAGCACGTTCGAACACCTGAGTGCAGTCTTTCCACAATGCTTCTTAAAAGTTTTCCACTAACAATACTTTGATGTTCTGTCGTCACTGGTGCTTCTACTGTCTCTGCCTGTGAATTATGCAAAGTGTATCACTGCAACTTCTCTCTTTGTTTTATCAACGGTCCCTTTAGAAAGCTCTTCTTTGCAAATATTTTACGCCCGCAATTTCCGTCATATGTGTATCGTTCCAACCCCTTTTCAATGTGATCAATTTGCACAGGAAAAATGTGGATTTTACCATTTGAAAATTTGAAATTTATTCGATGTAATCATAACCGTGATAGCTGTATTGTTTTAAACCATTACAGCCTCAAGCACATACCTTCAAATAATATCTGCACCACAATTTTTCGTTGATAATAATAAACCTAATTAACTTAATGGGGCTTCCCTTTTACCTTTGATCTTGTAAGTGATTATTTTTTCGTATAAAGCTACTATAAATTTAAAATTGAATTAAGAAATTTTATTTGCAGAAAGAAAAAAATGAAATTAATTATTGCTGTGAACTAATTTATAATATCATTTAAATTCTCATAGCATATGTAAATTAAGTGCACATATCCTAAAACCATGAAAACATATATAATATTCCAAAAAATTAATCTCAAAAAAATTTTTAAGACCAAATTAAATTGTATAAGTGAATAATTGTTAAGCAGGCAGGAGACAGACTTATCAAGGGGAAGTTGCCTAAAACCTAACTGTTCAATTACTCAGTTCATGTTTTGTCATCCATATAGGCAAGGTTAAAAGTAAAATTCAAATCCAAACGTAAAACTAAATGTTGTGAATTACTAAAAAAGAAATTTAAATTAGTAGGAATTTTGAGAAATTTAGCAAGTAAAAATGACTAGGAATTAAAATATTAATTAAATGTCAATTAAGAGCAGAAAACCAAAGTAATTTAGAAACTCTTGCCTATTGAAAACTTCCCTTACACGAATCTAGGAATTAAAATATTAATTAAATGTCAATTAAGAGCAGAAAACCAAGTAATTAGAAAATCAAAAACTTCCCTTACACGAATTCTGCATGTAAACCTAAAATAAACTATATACAATCTATCAAAATATAAAGATGATACTAATAAAAAAGCTAGTAAATAGCAAGTTTTAATTTAACTTACCTAGAACTACATATTTGAATTCCTGAGTGTGGACTAGCATTTGCTAAACTAGGTGAAGTTGAGTAGTTTGTTACTGCTAATTGTATAAATAGAGGGCGCTAATACAATGTAAAGTTGAGTGTTAAGCTGTTACCTGTGAGAGCTATTGTAAAAACATATGCTGTAAATGTTAATAATGTAAAATGCTTGTTTTGTGTGCAAAAATGTTACTAACTTTGAAGCATTGTTAAAATGTGTAAAAAAGTAAAAATTGTGAACTGCTATTGTTTGTGAGAGTAGGTGCTGCAAACTACTAAAGATGTAAAAATTTGAAAAAAAAAAATTTTTAGTAAAATTAAAAGTTCAAATAAACATTTTAATTAAATTAGAAAATTTGAATTTTTTTTTTTAAAACACAAATTGAAATAATAGAGAATTATGTAAGAAACCTTTTTTACTAGACTGCATATTTAAAACTGAAGTTCTACAAGTTTAATCAAAACTTTAACTAAATACTGGCCAGAGGTAAGGAAAATTAGATATATATGTTCATTCTCTCTCTCTCTCTCTCTCTTTTTTTTTTTTTTTTTTAAATTCCTTCAAAAAAAAAAAAATCTGTCCGGCTACTTTCAGATCGTGCTTTCAGCCTGCATGCAGTATCAGTTCAAGACAACTGTCCTATAGGCATATGAAGACTTGTTACAATTCAGTGACTGATAATAATTTGTCATCAAGTTTTACAACAAAATATTCAAAACAGAGCTGTGATGGCATCTTAAAATATTTAATATGCTTCCTTTCTTAAACAAAGGAAAGCAAAGTAGCTGTTAGCTTAGTAAATCACATAGCTCACTTTCAATAGAACTAATGTTTTCTTTGTAATCAAATTCTTAAGTTCTATTACTTGAACACTCCATTTGTGTTATTTTTGAGGGTTATTGAAGAGTTATTTTTTAATGATAAACAGCGAAATAACGTTTATGATAGTTTATATTTATAATCTACCATGTCCCAATTTCTTCCGTTTAGTTTTATCTTTCCTAATTAGATAATCTTTTAGCTTTCTTCGTTATCACGCTCTTTTTAGCCCAGAAGGGCTGTTAATTTCGTTTTAGCATTTTGCTTTGGTTCACTATAAATAACGTTTGACTTTTCAAATTGTTGCCACCAAATATTAGAGCCTTGCATTATATTTAAAGAAATTAAATAATGAAGCATCTGCATGAATGTGCGTATGTTTCTCGCACTGTGGAAAAACAACGGTACCTAGAGACATTAAATTTTGAATAACGTAGTCCTCCCCTCGAATATGGGCATTTGGAAGCGCAAATTAGGAATTTATTTTGTTTCTATTTTATATTTTGTAGAACTTTAACGAATTTTCGATTAACAAACTCAACGATTTCAAAGCGAGCAGTGGCTACACTGTACGGAAAAAATAAATTAAAAAACCGTTTCTATCTCCAGCGCGCGAGACTGTGTATCAGAAATTCTAAAGGATATGCTCTTTTTAAATTGTTTTGTGATATTGCTCTTGAATTTAATTATTTTCTTTTATGCCCTTTCTGTCTAAAATTACTGAAATAAACTAAGAATCAAAACGCAAAAGTATTGAAAAGAGAGCATGAATACTGATTGAAACTTATATCAACTGCAACCTCAGCATTAAAGCTGGCTTCCTGTTACTTTTTAATCGACGCATTTATTGGAGAATTTCAAATTTTTCTCCTGTGATAACACACCAACAACAAATCTCAATAGTGATAGTTCAGTTTCCCGAGATAGATTACGCTTTCTTTAGCTGTAAGTTGAGATGAAATCAAATCAGATTGTTAAGCAAAGTATTTAACTTATATAAACTATTGTTAATATCAAAAGTAGATTCATTTGTAATTTGTATACACTAGCTATTTGATTTTAATTTGGATAACATTATATTTTATTTTCAGTTATAAATGGAAAAAGGGTTTTTTAAAATAATTTTGTTTTATTTGTTTTGAGAAACATGCACATTTATTCCTGTCTATTACCAGTAGCGATTAACTGTTTAAAAAAAAGTTAGGAGAGAGAGCTACTATAAGTATATTACGGAATTTATTAGAAAACTGTATACGAGCTAATATCACTGTTTATATTTTGTTATGAATTTCTTCATCCAATCAATTATAA